TGTTGAAATTAAAAATAAAACTTCTCATTAGGTGCTGCACATTCAAGAGTGGGGAGGCATCTCAACAGGGGTTCCACAGAGTTGGGCCCAGAGTAGTGAACACATGGCTCCTGGTGAATACAAGCCATACATCTGGGCCATGAGGGATCCTCTGAAGATCTCAGTGACCAATTGGGGATATAAGGAGTCAGGCACTTAAAGTATCCTGGACCCAAGATGTTAAGAGTCATGTAAATGTATAATAAATGCAATGTATAATAAATTCACCATTTTAAGGTAAATTCGCATGAACCCTTCCCAGGCAGAAAGTTCCATTGAATTAAATGGGGCTTACTTCTTAGTAGACCTGTATGCCATAATCAGTCAAATGAAACTAGTCTCCCTTAATAATTACTGTTATTATTTTATAATTAAAAGATAGAACCTGGATAGAAATTACAATTGATCTCTTTGTCTAAAGTCACAGGCATGGGCAAGGAATAAGATTAGTATTAGTGATGCACTGAATAATTTAGCTGTGTGTAAAACAAATTAGGGCATGTTCCTTTGTTCATAAGATGGATGGTGCAACAAAGAGGTAGGTATTTTAATATCCTGCTTAATGTCAACTTAGAAAATGAGATTCTTCCTTAACCTTTCTGCTTCATTCACAAAGATGGATGGCCACAAGGCCCTACAAAGAAAAGCACACAAATGTTTGAGGAGATGATTCAAAGAGTTGGGGCATCTCTTAGAAGTGGGAATCAAAGAAGTCACAATTTTAAAAAAGGAAAATATGCTTTTTATGCTTTCAACTGAATACCTGAAATGAAATTATATAGACTCACCTACCTACAAGTTATCTATTTTGTGAAAAGGAGTAACCACAGGAAACCATGACGTACATTCTGTTAAGTGGCACTATTATGTAATGCTTAGTTACCTAAAGCATTTCAATTTAATCAGCTTCAAAATGCTTTAACTCTTGAGATGTTATCACTGAAGCTAACACATTTGCAATGAGTCCTGTTACATATTATGCAAAATGGCAGAATCACCTGTGTTGAATCACCATTGGCTGTGGATTATGGCGGAAAGTACCTATGCAAGTCCATCGGTGCACTTGATGTACACTGCCAATGTAAAGTTACTTCTATAGAGAAGAAGCAACCAACCCTCCAAGGGTCAGTAGGAAGAAGACAAACATTCATACATCTGATCCTTTCTTTCTTCTTTCTTTTGTTCACACAAAGTCTCTTCCCATACTTCATAGAGTATATCAAAATTCATTGTAGAAAAGAGTCACCAACCTTTTTAGGTAGGTGGGCACATTGGGAATTTTCAGCTAAATAATGTAGATTATGTTCCTGCGCTTAATATGGAGAATTTGCAGAACACTATCCCTCAGAAAACTCATTGAACGTACTGAATGATACATTTTGGCAACATCACAGGGTGGTGTGCCAGATCGATATTCTTTTCCAGTAATGAGATTTGCTTTTGTTTGTTGTGTTTGAATCATTAGTGAAATCTTTGCTCCACCACTCCTGCCCAAAAGGCTTTCCAGTCCACAGGATGTCACCATATGGATGCATCTCCAAACAATATGACAACCGAGCCAACCAAAGAGCAGCAACAGCACAAAAAGCCCACAACACCTGTGAAGGGCCTCTTATAACACAGGCTTCCACTAGAAAAAAAAAAGTATCAAGGCAACCACAGCACAATGACAAACAGCCTTTATAAAGGGACTGATCTAATTATAAAGTTAAATTACAGGGTTCTTGTAAAGAAAACACAATAACAGCAATGAGCCTGGAAGTGGCTAAGTTCCCAACAAAATCATCCCTATTAGCTTCTATTCATGACTTGAATTATGCCTTTTTATCTCTGCACAGCATTCAGCATTTACTTACCATTAAATTTTGAAGCATTGCAACTTTCTGCTGACATTAATTCATTCCCCAAAATAGAAGACTCCAGCCTTTCCTCTGTTAGACATTTAAGCCATTCAGGTGTTTATTTCCTTGTTTCTTTCTTGAACTTTAGAACAGCAAGAAAGCTCAGGAGCAGAGGCATGATGAATGAGAGGAGCTTTTCGAAAAGGCAGAAATGTTGTCACTTAATCTAACAATAAAAGAGCAGCCTCCTACCTTGAAAACAAACATTTCCCGACGAAGAATGGCTAGAGTGTTAAAATTTCCATCACAGATGTTGGGCTTGGCTCCAGGGTAAGAAGGCTTGTCCCCTGTGGGTGGCCGCGGAGGTTTAGGCCTGTCATTCTTCCGTGGATCTGCTGGAGGGACAGAACGATGTGGGGGCACTGTTGGCAGAGGTCTTGTTGGTGGCGGGAGTTTGTCAGGTGGCCCTTTGGGAGGAAAAAATGATACTAGCAGATTAACCTCTAGGAGACTGCATACTGTTCAGTTGATGATGCCATGAGCTGAATTGCACAGGAGCTGCAAATTAAACCCACATGAAACAAGCAAATTTGCACAGAAAATCTGGCAAATAAAGGGAGCTGGTATCTCAACAGTGGATTGCTTGTGGCCCTTAAAACTATGGTGTGGCTGAGTTCCACAGCCTTTATCGCCAATCCTACCAATTAATTGGGATGGAAATGTTCAAACAGTAATCTGCAGTTAAAGCTTAAGTTAATTAATCACACTTGAGTAGCTGATTAGAGCTTGCAGCCCTGTAACTTTTTCCATTTTTCTTTTAAAAAAAATGATTGCTAAACTTCTTAGCAGCAGAGATAAGTCTTAATACACGGTAGCAAAAAATGTCTGCTGCCAGTGTATTTCCTTCTTTACTATAAATTGGGAAATGGACAAATTGGAATTACTTGCTAGCTTCAAGGCCAGACTACTCACACTGAATTAATTAGATCTAATCAACTTCGCATAATTCCGGTCATGCTGAATGTGCATAATTTGGGTTACTGAATTTTTGCTATTTTGATTTGCTGTAAGTTACCAGTAGCTCCAGCTATTTTATACTGTCTAGTTCACTGAAGCCAAATCATACTTAGGGCAACCACTACTCTCCCTGGACAAGAAGTTCTCAAAGAAGAACCTGTGTATAACTGATTCTGAACAGCTGGTGCATGATTAAAATTGGGATCTAATGTCTAGTCATCACAAATAGCGGCTGACGAGGCAAACTTGTGTTTGGACTGCATCATTCTAGACTGCAGGTTTCACGGAACATCCGTTTCCTCTGCCAAGGAAGCCATCACTGTGGTTTGCAAAAGTATGCATGGTGTGAAATAAGTGGAGATAGGCATTTCTCTTCCTCTCTAAGAACACTGCAATTTGCGGTCATCCACTAAAATTGACTGGCAGTAAATTCAGGGAAGACAAAAACAAAGTGTTTCTTCATGCAAAATGTCGTTAAGTTGTGGAATCTCCCGCCACAAGGTATTTGCCAAGGACAATAACCCGTGGGTTAGAGCAGGTGTGGATAACCTTTCGCTCTCCAGACATTGCTGAGCTGAAACGTCAGCCACCACTGACCATTGGCCATGTTTGCTGAGGTTGATGAGAGGGCAATATCTGGAGGGCCAAAGGCTCCCCATACCTGGATTGGATGATTTCATTTGACAGGTCCATGGATAATCTTTCAATTGTCATGGTAAAATGAAGCCACCAGGTTCAGAGTGCTGGTTGCTAGAAGGCACTTCGTAGTTATGGTGTCATGCCGTGGGGTGGGGGACCAAAGGTGGTTTACATTTTTAAACTACTAAAACAAATACAAAATATAAAACAAAGAGTGAAAAGAGCCAATGGTATGTGATCCTTGGCCTGGGCTTCCTTACTTCTGCTGGTCAGGGATGCTGGGAGTTCTAGCCCATCTTAAGTCCACTCTGGGTATGACATAGTTGAATACAACCCTAAATACTTATTGACAAAATCTTCATAACCGCTATCCTTAGCAAGTCACTGATTCAGTCCACAGTTTCTTACCTAAGGAAACTAATGAACCAGCAAATATTTAATCTAAATAGTCAAACAAAGGCCATTGTTGATTTTATCACTGTGGCAGCAGAATCAGGTATTTTCCAGGAGACAATATCTGGTTGAAAAATGCTAAATCCAAACTATAGTTTCCATGTGCTATTTGCTAGTGATGTCATGTTTAACTTCCCAAGGGCAATAAAACTCTTCAAAGTACAGCTTTGATACTGGTATTTAGTATGAAGGCAAAATAACCTTGTCTGGCCCTTCTGTCTAGACTCATGAGGTCATAGAAAACATCTTCTTCTGCTTAACCACACAGGAGAAACCCAACCATTTAATTTCCTCTGTGGAACAGCCTGGATATGATAACACATATGCAACAGTGTGGCATCTACCACGCTGCTCCTATATAATCTTATATCAATGCACCCAATGCTTAGCACCCAGTTCAACAGTGCACATTGGAGCAAGAGAATATTCCTCTCTGCCCGAAGAGGCTTGCAAACTAAAACACACACACACATTTCTCAGAAAAGAAAGAAAGTAAAGGAGAGAGAAAGAGGAAGGAACAGCAAACATTATGGTGCAAATAAAAGTCTTAAGCAGAAGTTTCAATCAAACATTAAAATACAAGAAGCCACAATGAATAAATGAATAGAAATCAAAGAAGTCAGAAGGCAAATAAAAAAATGGAAGTGCTGATCCTACACCATTTTGGTGGCACCTGGAGTGGGGGGGGTGCAAATCCAAATGATGTGTCCATCCCCATCCCCTCTAATGATATGTGTTTGCTGAAATTATCTCTGCATGGATCTAAATTGCATGCAGAATATTTGAAAACCTTTGGGCAAAACTCAACCCTGAAAAGGGTTGTTGTGGTGATTTACTACCTTAGCAGTGGTATCGGCTCAGAATAAATACTACTTGTTATGCCTATCTTTAGGGGGATGATCTGGCATTTCTAGTACTTAATGGAGAGAGGAGCTCAATTTGCCTGGTGTGAAAGAAAAAAGGAACATGATGATGAACTTCTGTAAGGATATATAGGAATGAGTCAAGAGAGGAGCTCAGTTGGTAGAGCATGGCTCTCTTAAGCTCGGAGGTCGTGGGTTAGAGCCCCATGTTGGGTGAAAGATTCCTGCACTGCAGGGGGTTGGACTAGACAATCCTCACGGTCCCTTCCAACTCCACAATTCTGTGATTCTGTGAGTGAAGTGCAAGCAAGTGCTTCAGTGAAGCAATCAAATGGAAAGGATGGCTGGAGTGAAGAAGGACCAGGAGAGTGAAAACAAATGAAGACTGAGCCAATGGTTTGTCCTAGAGGAAGTCAGCTTACTATGTTTCTAAGATGACTGGAGCAGATATAAGCAATAAGACAGAAGAAAGGGAAGGGCAAAGGAAAGAGGAAATATTAATATTTTAAGAGAAGTCTAGGTTCTCCTTGAATAAAAAATATTTGTACTACTTGGTTAAATATTTAAGAACATTGTTGCTGTTAAGTGTGGATTTCAGTTCAACTTGTGAACAGTATTTGAAACATGGTGGTTTGGCAAAAGCCCTTGGCTTTATCTCAACACAGAATCAAAATCCCTTCAAGGAAATGGATACAAACAACAAGAACAAATAGTTATTGTAGTTTGCATGTTCATATTTGTTCAGTTGTAAGCACAACACTCAAGCTACAAAGTCTGACTCGAAATTGTAAGGTAATTCCCAGAAATGTTTAAGAGACATCTACCCCTCCTTTTAATGTTCTAAACATGCTCTAATGCAGGCGTCAGCAAACTTTTTCAGCAGAGGGCCAGTCCACTGTCCCTCAGACCTCATGGGGGGCCGGACTATATTTTTTGGGGGGGTAAAATGAACGAATTCCTATGCCCCACAAATAACCCAGAGATGCATTTTAAATAAAAGGACACATTCTACTCATGAAAAAACACGCTGATTCCCAGACCATCCACGGGCAGGATTTAGAAGGTGATTGGGCCAGATCTGGCCCCCAGGCCTTAGTTTGCCTACCCATACATGGAGTTTTTAAACAAGTGGGTTGCCTCATTCACTTCAATGAAGGGAACAGATAGTGTGCACACAAGGAGTTCATAAGCAGATGTGCAACCTTCAATGGATGCATAGTGTTCACAACACTGCAGCAGTGTATATATCTGGAAGTGACCCATCCCTATTAGAATTTTTTTTAATATTTTAAAGAAATAACCAGCATACCATATATCTTTTGGATTCCCTGCAAATCATCATTAGGTAGTTTGAAGTTGTCGGTTTCCATGTACTGGTAAAATGGAGCCATGATGGCAGTAGGGTCATTTGAATGCTCCAGACCCAAAGCATGTCCCAGTTCATGAACTGCAACTAGAAACAAATCGTTCCCTGGAGGAAAAGAAGAAAGAAAGAGGAAAGTTTAAAAACTGCCTTATCAATGCATTCACTGTATTTGACACAAAGCACTTCTTGAATGACTTCAAATCATTTCACCTACAGTTTAGACATGACCACGCCACACTTCCTAAGGCTCCCTGCTTTATGAGTCAAAAGCTCCCAAAGGAATCTTAAGTATGCTCTTCTTCTGTGTGATTGACTCATGTGTGGCTGACTATACGTGTGAGGCTGGGAAAGAAATAATAATAATTTTGATTCAAACCTGGATAGGGGGGAAAGAGCTGGAGAGTCCTCTTGGTTCATGAGGAGACTCTCCCCAGAGCCCAAAGATGACAGCAGTGAAGGAGGAGAAAACCCAAAAGAGACGAAACACAGTGGGGTTTTTGTTTTGGCTATCCAGTCTCCCCACTTAGCTGTGAATGCATGTGCTAGCACATCCTCCAGCCACCAGCCAGCCCTAGAGCAACAATTCTAATTGTGGATATTTATGGATACAGTATTTTTGGTCTGGATTGGAAAGAGTGTGGCAGAGAGGGAGCTTAAAGAGTGTTGAGAGGGTGCTCCCCACTCATGCAATTTTCACTTATTTGTGCTGGGCCCCTGAACATAACCCCCATGTAAGTGGGGGAAAACCTGTACTGAAAAATGTAATGAAAGTGAAAAATAATAATAATGATTTCCACAACTATATTTTTGAGGTTTTTTAAACATCTGGGAGCAAACCTTTCATGGTAAGCACATAGTGAAAAGTAGCCTTGCTTGCCTTCATAAAGCTGCATATTTCATAACAAAGGCTATAGTAAGTAGTAACAATTCATCAAGTATATGAATGCAAGCTTATTTGCCAATTATTATCATTTATTAAATCTGGATACTGCCCTTCATCCGAAGATCACAGGGGATCTCATTTTGTAAAAATACAAAATGAGAACACAAAATACATAATAAAAACAAGAACAAAAGCAAACCAAAACCACCTTCCCACAACACATTTAAAAGGACAGAATATTAATCAGCAAAAGGCTTGGTTACAGAGAAACATTTTCGCCGGTGCCAAAAGATAAGCAATGAAGGCAGCAGGTGAGCCTTACCCCAAATAACCCAAATTGGAGAAGAGCTTACAAAAGCTGAATAATGACATATTACCATGTTACGTTTCAACAACCCCAGAACTAGACTCTGCAATACAATTGGGGGACTTATTTTCAAAGCACAAGTTTCACAAATGAGTGTACCAATATATGTTTCAGACGATGCTTTCAAGATCCTGGGCAGCTGAAGTATGTGATGATTGTTGTTATTTAAAAAATCAAGTCTGTTTTGTTTTATGAATCATTCCCTCGAAGCACCATTTTATCAGAGTTCAAGGTCGCTCTTCCGAGTTAGAGCATAGGTGGACAGACTAAATTAACCAAGCATTCACAATGATGAGAAAGTCAAGGGGAATTTCAATAGAAATTGAATTGACACTTCCTTGCTTGGATTTAGCTGGTTTGTTTCCTCCCGGAGCATTGTCTCAGAGCTATTTCATTGTCCAAATGTATATACACAATGGGTTTATATGTGAGCCAAGTTTATTCTACTTTACTGTTGTCCTGTCTACCGGTAAAGCCATGTGAAGCTAAATGACTCGGTATTTTATTTACTTTATATATAGTGTTAATTTCTGGATGAAATCCCCTCAAGGTGGAAAAGGATGATATAAAATTACATTACATTCAAAGCTTTGTAATAATAATGATACCCACTAATTCAAAGGGATATAGTTTAAGGTACATACAGCCAGCACCTTGCTGAAGCTAAGCAGTACAAGATCTGGTTTGTGCCTGAATGGGTGACAACAGCAACAGATGTAAGGTTCTGCACTTAGGCAGGGAGAACTACTGGCAAGAACCAGCTGCACAAATATAACTACTGGCTTTCCAGTAGTACATGTGAAAAGGATCTACGGGTCTTAGGGGGCCACAAACTGAATATGAGTAAACAGTGTGTGGGGGGGAGGTAATGCTATTCTAGGCTGCAACAACAGAAGTATAATGTCCCCATTGGAGGGCATTGGAGGGTTTGGACTAGATGACTCTTTAAATCCCTCCCAACTCTACAATTCTATGATTCTATGAACCTGGGAACCATAGACATACCACCTTGGATTCCAAGAGAGAAGAAAAGCAAAATATAAATTTAAGAAAGAAGAAAGAAAGAAAGAAAGAAAGAGAGAGAGAGAGAGAGAGAGAGAAAGGTCAAGAGCAGTTCTTTCAAATGGCCCTGGAAACACACTAGTGTAAGGCCAATGGGCACAAAATTGATTTAAAGTGTTCAGACCTCTTAGCCCCAACAAGCACTCAAACAGCCACATTGTGCCAATGAGGCTGATTCTAAACTAGACATAATTTTATTCTATCTTTATGTTAACTATTATTGCAACACTGGATGTTTGAAGGCATTCGGAAAACCTGATAAACCACGAACAAAGAGCAAAAATAAATCCTAGTTTCCAGTAACGAACAAATAGCATTCCCCCCATAATTACCTTAACCCACTGACTTCCTCTATAGGCAGTTAGGCAACCTGTGAAATTTACATTCCATGCATTCATTCATTTCATTTATATACCGCTTACCATCCAAAGCATCTTGAAGCAGTTTACAATAACGAAATTTAAAGATATGCATACACACACAGCCCACAATAAAGCTATGTCAAATAAATCCATCTAACATGTAACAAAATACATAAAGAATATTCGTGTCCATAAGAATAATATAAATATAATCAGAGCACTACAAGGCAGTATAATATAAAATTTCAAACATCACAACATAGATCCAATTTTCATCCAAGCTCACATTACCACTACAAGCATTCACAACCTCAACCAATACCTATGTCAACCATGTAAACGTGAAGCACTCATACTCAACAATATGACATCCCCCATAAACAAATGCCAAGCATTTGTATAAAATGAATGCCTAATAGTTGAGACACTATACACACTATACACATGCCCTATACACTATACACACTATACACATGCCACTATACACTATACACATGCCCCACCCCTGTTGAACTAATAGTCCTCTCCCATCTCTCACCTGAGAAGGGCCCAAAACTATATCAGAGCTGGATCTCACACTGGAGGGAACAGAACTATTTTGATCCAAGCACTCCCAACTATAGTATTACAACATACCCAATACTGCAGAACTTAAAACACTTGGGGTTTTGGTGTGTGGTTTGTTTTTTGCATTCTGTCATATTATATTTTGCACCACTGAAAGTTCAGGCACTTTCAGATGCTATAAACGATTAAAAGAAGAAGAAGATACAATTCAATTTGCATACTTTGTGATTCTTGGATCTAATTCACACAAGAAGTCATACTGTGCATTGAAATCCACCCGTTGCCCTGAAATCGAGTTGCGTTATTATATGTGTTCTCACTGCCTAGGCTGCCTGATCATTCCAGTTACCTCCTTCTGTGAGGTGTTTAGCGCTCCACAGAGCAGCCAAGTATAATTCATGGGTTGTCCACCCCAAATCCCATGGAATAAAAACAAATGTATACATGTTCAAGCCAATGTGGAAATAATAGTTTGCCTATGACAAATTTAGACAAAGGTTTTCTAATCAAGGTGGGGAATGACTAGACAGGTTGAGGGAGCTCCACAGAGCTATTCGTTTTTCATTAGCACTGTGGAGGAAATGCTCTGAACTGTCTATCTTAAACATA